CTAGCAGCAACTAAGTTGAAACTGGGCTTACCTAAAATAAAGTTCATAAACCTATCAGCCATTTTTTTGTCTTGCTCAGTTCAAGAGAAATTAATTCTCTTTGTTCTTCCTCAGTTTTATTGCTTAAGTTCTTATGAATTCTTTCAAAATGTCTCTTTGCAGAAGAAGTCCTATAAACGATTGTTTCTGAACAGAAAATACATAAGGCTTTATTGTCTATCTTAAACATGCGAAAGTTTTTAGTCGAGTATTCTTTAAATTATCTAATATCCTCTTCATTTGAATGACATCGTTTCTTAGCTGATGATCGTGACATTATAAACAATCTGTAAAGGGCAGAAAATAAAAATACATGTAAGAGGAGAAAGAACAAAAGTAAGTCAAAAAGGGAATCTAATGAATAAGTTTCGCCTGCCAGAAACAAGTTATCGGAGTGCCATGTTTGGCACGCGTGCCGAGAGCTGCCTGGTCTACGTTAAATCAGCTTATTTTAAAGTCGCCTCCGCCAAATTAGCAGTGGATGAAAAATATTTGATATAGTTGGAACCCAAACTGACAACATTAGAATAGTTATACGGTTATAAGACCACGGACATGATCGAAATCACTAAAAATGTTTTTGTTTTTTTCACGTGAGAAAACGATCACACTGTAGAAGACACCAACAGTATATATATATATACACACACACACACACACACACACATACACACACATATATATATATATATATATATGCATATTATCACGAACAAACTAATTTTGAATTCTGGTTTTATTTCAGTTACCTGATTGTCTAAGAATTGGATGCTAAATACGTTTCATTTGAACCAGCTGGCAACGAAGATAAATGTGTGTCGTCTGTTGCCTTCATTTCCGATACATTCTGGAATTTTCGTCTGACGGACGACGGTATGATGGGAAAACTCTGGCATTCCGGTTCCATTTGCTAATCTATCTTCCAAAGGAAATGTCCAATCTTGGACTTACTCCATCTTTCTACTCATCAATCAAGCTCTTCGATCATATTAGGACTACAACGATATGACACTGGGTCCCGATATGTAGCATAAACACGTTTGATATAACTTCGTTGATCGTAGTAATTGCTGCAATCGAATAACATCCGTGTATTTGATACAGAAAACCGTTTTTATTTAGTCATAAAGAGACGTTGATAAGAAGTCATAGTTACAGTTAATATTATAAACAAACCTCCAGTCGTTGTGGTGACATTTTAAAATTGCAAATTACTTATATTTTTAAACTCAAGATTTTGTTCGTAAATCTGTAATCTGATTAATGGGAATTCATTTATCAGAGTCAACAGCCCTATCTGAAATGTTTATGGGAATAGACAAGACTCCAATCTAGAGAAATTGCATTCTTTTAAGTGCCGTGTCCCTTCAAGACGTTGTCGTGAATGACTCTCCACAACTTCCTTTGTAGCTTTAACCAATTTTTATACACTTACTATACTTACCAGTCCATATTCTGCTGTCATATCATTTTAGAATCAGGCCGATTCCGTGAGCAAATTAAAAACATTCCGGGATGGATCCTGACCCACATTCCTAAAATTTGGGATTCCCAAGTTTTCATTACTGAATTGTTTTCGACGATTTTTTACGTGATTTTTAGCGACGCATTTTTTGTACGATAACAATTTGTATAACTTGGAAATAAATTTGGGAATAATCGAAATAAATTGCGAAATCCAACGAAAGTCAGACATGAAATAAAAATAATTGTTTGTACCGAAAGTAAAGACCTACGTACATCAAAATGTCTTTAAATTAAGTGGCGACAGAAGAATTATCGATGCATTTTTAAAAGCTTAAATATTAATGCAATACATAAATGCAACGATCAATTTGTGTTCTACTGTAGCTTATTGTTGCCAATCGCATACGGTAGCAGTTTGCCTCGCAAAAAGAAATCTTCGCCAACAGAGGACGAGATTGTAATCAAAGTAGTCTCGGCAGCAACGAGGAAAAGAAAGTTCAGTGCAAATGAAAACACAGATCAGACAGCAGCCAGACGAGCTTCCAATGCTGAGAATATGCAAAGACTTAGGGACTCTCAAACTCCTGAACAAGCTGAAGGCCCTCCGCGGGAGTTAGCTTAAATGCCGCCCGATAGGGCGCCTTTAAGGTAATATATATATATATATATATATATATATATATATATATATATATATATATATATAAAAAGAAGAGAAGAGAAGAGAGGTGCCGCAAACGTTTTTGGTTGTAATGTGGATTTATTTAGAAAAAAAAATATTATGCTTTGTTTTACATAATTGTAGTACACGTGTTTCTGGTCTCGTGACCGTCTTCAGGTAATATACATACTTTTCTCTCGTTGGAATCACTACAACCTCTTTCTTTTATATATATATATATATATATATATATATATATATATATATATATATATATATATATATATGGTATTTACCCTTTGTGAGCGTGTTTCTTACACGAGAACAAGGACAAAAATCTATATAAACATATGGCACCAAATCCTTCGTTTTTGAGTTAAGTTTCGAGTTTACAGTAGATGTTGTTAAATATACAATGCGAAATACAATACCAAAATACTTTTACAAACGTTATGGGCAACAAAACAAGGACATATAAAGATATGTCGGCAAATCATTCGATTTTCAGTTAAGTTTAAAGTTTACGTTAGATGCCTTTAAATGTACAATTCAAAAATACTTTTACAAACTTTGTTGGGGAGTTCTTCACATGAAAACAAGGATAAAAGTCCACATAAATATAGGCTCGCAAATCCTTGGTTTTTGTGTTATTTAGTTTAAAGTACGCGATAGATTCTGTTAAATGTAAAATTCCTCATACAATTCAAAAATACTTTTACAGACTTTTTGCAAATGATACGGATACAGGAACTGGTCTTGGAGTACCCTTTATACGGTATACTGTGCAATCGACAAAATCCAAAATTAAAATATAAAATGGCGACAATTAACCCATCGTACCCTGGATATATATATATATATATATATATATATATATATATATATATATATATATATAGATAGATAGATAGATAGATAGATAGATATTATAAATTAATTGATTTAAAATATGTTTTCGCTACACAGTAAAAATAAAAATATCTATAATTGTAAAAATAAAACTCTATATCTATAATTGTAAAAATAAAAATAAAATAAAAATAAAAATAATTGTAAATCTATATCTATAATTGTAAAAATAAAATATCTATAAGAACACCGGATTATATATCTTACTGTTCTTTATATATATATATATATATATATATATATATATATATATATATATATATATATATATATATATATGAATGTATGTATGTATGTGTGTGTGTGTGTGTGTTTGTTCTAAGTCAGTGGAGAACTTGGAGAGGTGAATTAACAGAAGATAACTGACAATTGACATCCATTAGACATAGCACGTGGAACTAGAACAGTCTACCCCAGCGAGCGAAATAAAGGGTTCAGTTCGACATTCCAACCACCTGAAGAAAACCGGAGCGTACAACGGCCGAAACGTTGTGATAAATATGGCAACAAAGATGAGGACAATAGTCCGAATAATGTAAATAGTGTACATAATATCTCATCTCAGAAATATAGACAGGAATATTAATCACTTACGCACACGCTGTCAGGGTTTCAACCAATGAGATCTCGTGGCTTTCTTCAGTATTCCCTAGCTTATATTAGGGATTTTGTTGGTATTTATTCTTTTAATTCCCACACATGGTTGGCCAGTCTGGTACAATTCCTATAGCTTTCTATCCTGAGCGATGACTTGTGATTATAGCATCTCTTTTTGAAGGCGCCTTCAGTACAACTCATATAAATCTTGCTCTGGCCATTTTCATCTTTCACTTCCGCCTTGTAAAAAACTCCTTCCGTTTTACAAACACCATCCAGTGGACTTTTAATCCCTACAGTTATACTTTACGCTATCAACAATACTTTGTTGAACGTTTTGTTTTTTTAATTGTCATTTCTAAATTGCTAGTAAAGCTGAAACGTAATTTTACTGTATTGTTATGCATAATAGTATCGTTGATAGCGAAAACGTCGAGCCTGGTCACAATCGAGATGGGTGACCGCTTGTAGATGTATGATGCTGTGAGCTTGGATGTGCGAATGGCGTAATGGATAACGGCTCCGAATTCGAAATTGGAGAGCCGAGTTTCGAATTCTACTCGGGTCAGTTATATTTAATTGCGCACAATTACCACTAGGAAGGGTATAAATCCATCTCTTCTTCGGCTCCGTACGATCACCGAAGTTAAGCAACGTCGAGCCTGTTCGGTATCTATATGGCTGATCGTTTGGAAATACCAGGTGCTGTAAGCTTGGTTGTGTGGGTGTTGTAATGGATAATGGCTCGAAAATATTAATCGGAGAGCTGAGTTCCAATTCCAGTTGGGTTCGTTATTCTCACTCACGCGCAAATACCGTCGGGAAAGGTATAAATCCACCACTTCTCCTCCCAGCTATGGGCTAATTAGTAAGACTTGTATCACTAAAACCATTGTTATCCCAAAATAAATAAAATTCCGTACAAAATATTTAAATTAAAAAACCCATAGGGGTTGATATGCCGCTAAACAAAAACAACCAACATCCTTTTCGACCGTAGCAAGATTTGTATCTGTAAATCATTATCTCCAAAAAATTCATACAATCTATTATTTTTTAATTAATTAATTACTTAAATTAAATATTTAAGGCCGGAAAATATTTTTATATTTTCTGGCTTTAAATAACCTGCAAAAGGTTGATAAGCCGTAAAAAAGAAACCAGTCAGTCAATCTACATAAGAAGTAAATGCCTTTTTTTTTTCCTTAGGAGAAACATTGATCTAAAACATATTAAGTATTATTCGTGATATTAACTTGTAATCTTGTTTATTTATTTGCTTGTGCGTACGATTATTTCTCTTTTTTTTCTTTCTTTATTTTTGAAGCTCCTGGTTGCCGGATTCCAACTGACATTCGAGGGGAATGGAGATACACGCTGAAGATTGCACGGCGCTTGATTGTTGACGTGAAATATATGAACCTTGTTCTTATGGACAACAGTGTCGTCAAACTCGACTGTGAAAGCCGCGACGGAAACATGTTTCTGTTGAGGTACGTTGGTTGATTGATTGTGTTTAACAGCATATTAACACTTCTATGAGTTATTTAAATACCGAAATCTAAATATTTTCAACGCATTTGTATGCCTTCAAATACAGATAAAATGTATTGTTGGTAATTTCAATCCAAATGGGTATTGTTGGCATTTTTTAATATAAAAATGCATTGCTGGTATTTTTACTATAAAAATGTATTTTTTTTTTTTATTTTCGTGGTGATTGGCGGGGGTCACAATTTGTCCGTAGTTGGGGCCCTAACAGGTTTTACCACCCCGGGTCAGGGTGGATCTGGGAACAATAGCAATTAATAGGTGGTTCCACGCTCCTCAAAACCTTCCGATCAGACATCTTGCTGCCAGATGTAGTTTATCGTCATACCAAGGACTCTGTCGAGATATAGACACAGCTATTTGAGCCATTTTTTTTTTAAATTTTAGAATGCTGAGTTTTTAGACAAGATGCTCCTCCTCGCTTCGATAAATGGCGTAACACAATTTTGTTTTGACCATTTCACTTGCATCGAGAACAGACATACCACGTGGTGCCGGAGTCGATATCGCCAAGAAGATCAGCTTCGAATGCTGATTTTCTAGGCAATAAGATCGTATGGACAATCTTCGTAACTCTCCTAATTTGTCCCTATGAAGTATTAAGCTAGCCAATACTCTTGAGTTCAGAATAAAAGGGTAGATTAGAATAAAAGGATAGGCTAGATAATTCATTCAAAATTCATTTGTTTTCGGAACAAACAAGAAGGGAGAGAAAGTTTGAATAAACAGACAGGTTGGAAAAATAAAATAAAATAAGCGGTGTGTGTGGAATAATGGTGGGTAGGTTGGAAATAGCCGGCCTGTTCAGGACATTTAGAGGTGGTACATTTTAAAGACAATACTCAGATATGAATCAGTTAATCATTAATAACAATAATAATAATAATAATAATCAAGTCATTTTCGGTGACAAATGGTTAAGTTACTTTTAACGAAATGCAAACTGGCGACAAATCATCGCTTACATCCGCAGCATTACGAATCCTAAAATCTAAACACATTATCCGAACAACCATTTCTCAACTAGGTATTTATAGTGATGATACGACTATTTTACTCCTTACTAGCAAGTTTGACAGGTTCGACAAAGTAAGACTGGCAACTACTGTCTAAAAGGAACTACAATCAGTGGTTAATCGGGGCAAAGTATGGCATGTAAATTTTAACGCTGCCAAAGCTAAACTGCTCTCATTCAATCGCCTTTTCTGATAACATTTTCTGGTTGCCGTCAGCATATAACTGATGCTCACTACAAGGAGAGCAACCCTTTGTGTCTCCTTGGGCGCACGTTTTCCAATGACATAAAATGGAACGATTATATTGAATCAATTGCTAGGTCTACTGCTAGGAAAGGTGGTTCACTGCGTCGTGCCAAAAGTTTTTTCTCGTCAGAATCCATCTTGCACATCTAGAGTTGTCGCTGTTGGAAATGTTCAAGAGATGTGTTTTTTTGTTATTTGTAAAGCTCTTTGTTTAGGATCATGTAGAGACATTCTGTAGAGCCTGATGAAGTGTCGTCTTGTTTAAGATTCATTGGAGCTATTCGTTGGAAGCTATTGTTATTCATTAATCTGGGGAAATGGTTGTATACGGATGATAGTTTAGACATTTCTGAACGAGGTGGATGCCATGTGTGACATCCGTGTGAGAGTCTAGATCTGAATAAGTGATTTAAGGGCACGACTCTAGTTTCCAGGTCAATATTTTAGATTTGCAGTATCTTACGGTGTTGGTTAAAATCCTGTATTCAACGTCCTTGTCTACCATACTAAATTTATCATTCATTGAAGATAGTAAGAATCGTTTGTCTTCGACTCGTTCGGTCAATCGGTTGTATCAGTAAACCTATGAAAAATAGGGCCGCAACCTCAAGTGGTACCGCTATGGTTTCAGTGGAAAGAAGGTTTTGCTGGATGGCGTGGGTAGCCCCACAGTCAACCTGTTTTAAATTTAGTTTCCGTCTCCAAGGATAGTTGTCAACCAAATTTAGAATCATGCAAAAATGATTTAAGAAACTTATCATAAAAAAGAAACTTGAGACTTATTACGAAAAAACTACTTAGGAGGGAGAAAAGATTTATCGTGAAAAAGAGTGATGTCATGAAAAAGAGATTCATCACGAGAAAATGACATGAAAAAGAGACCATGAAAAAAAAAAGGATTTATAATCAAAAAGAGACTTAAGGAACATCATGATTCGTCATAAAAAGATTATCAAGGAAAACGAGTTACCATGAAAAAGAGATATATCATGAAAAAAGAAACTTAAAAAAGTTAACAAGCAATAAGAGACTTATCATGAAAAAGAGACTTATCGTGAAAAAGAGACTTATCGTGAAAAAGAGACATCATGAAAAAGAGACATCGTGAAAAAGAGACTTATCGTGAAAAAGAGACTTATCGTGAAAAAGAGACATCGTGAAAAAGAGACTTATCAGGAAAAAGAGACTTATCGGGAAAAAGAGACTTATGAAAAATGTAACTCCTCATGGAAAAAAGACATGAAAAAATGACTTATCATGAAAAAGAGATTTCAGATACTCATCATGAAAAAGAGAAGTATCATGCAAAAGAGGGTGATCATGAAATAGAGACTTACCAGTAAAAAGGGACGACTTTCGAAAAAGAGACTGACCATGAAAAGGGGACACCATGAAAAGGGGACTTACTATGAAAAGGGGACTATGAAAAAGAGATGTATCATGAAAAAGAGACGCCTTATGAAAACAAGACTTACCATGAAAAGGAGACTTACTATAAAAAAGAGACGTATCATGAAAAAGAGACTAACCATGAAAAAGAGAATTATCACGAAAAAGACACAAGAGACTCATCATGAAGAGTGACTTATGACGAAGTAAAAATCTATTATGAAACAGCGACTTTTCGTGAAAAAGAGACGTATTATTCAAAAGAGACTTAAGGGACTTATGATGTAAAAAAGACTTATCGTAAAAAAGAGACTTAAGGGACTTATAAATGTAAAAGAGACGTATCGTAAAAAAGAGACATGAAAAATATGACCCGTGAAATCATGAAAAAGATTTCTGAGACTTTTTATGGAAAAGAGACTTATCCTGAAAAAGAGACTTAAGCCACTTATTATGAAAAAGAGACTTGTGAAAAAAAAAAAAAAAACAAAAAAAAAACGATTTATCATAGAAAAACACTTCTCATGAAAAAAGGCTAATGTTGAAAAAGATTATTCATGAAAAAAAATCTTATGAAAAAGAGACATGATGAAAACATACCCTGAATCTTTACTTCCTGTCTTTTTCATTCTTATTTTATTTTTATTTCCTACTGTTTATTTCTTTTCCTTTTTTCCTTCCTTTTCCTCTTGATCTTCTCTTCCATTTCTTTTCCTTTTTTCTTTCTTTCCTTTTCCTCTTCTTGTTTCGATTTTCTTTATTTTTTTCTTTGTTTCTCTTTCTCTTTCTTTTTCTTTTTATCTTTCTTCTCTTTTACTACTTTCTTTATTTTTCTTCTTTGTTATACTTTAAGAATCATTAACCAGCATTTTGCACGTCTTCCCATGCATATTCTCACTTTTTTCTTTTTCATTTTTCAATCTTTGCAGGGTAAAGAACTACGATCCCGGTAAACACGATGCACTGATGTGTCTGAAAATCGAACGGATTGATTTTGATCCCCACTACACTTACAAATTATCTCGACTCAACAGTAAATATTCGTCGTTTTTCTTCTCTAAATATTAATACATACATACAACAACGATTTTAGAAACTGATAATAAATACAGAACTTTTCATAATTAATATCGGATTCTTATAAACATTTAATTAATACCGGATTATTTTAGAAACTGATAATTGATATTGGATTTTTTCTTTCATATAATTAATACAATGAATATTAAACACTTTAGAATTCTGTCAAGGCCGGAAAGTATTGATTCAGCAGCAATCTTGGATGGTACAAAGAATCGACCATTTTTTTCTCAACGTCTTTAGCGATGGTTCAAGTTCCACTTGAGGTTTGATATGCACGTGAATCCGAATAGACTTTCAAGGTATGGAGTCCCATTGGGCGTGCAACCGTTCATTGTGACTAGAAAATTCAGGGTCAGGTCGGTGATGATGAAATGTTACTAGCTTGGTTTTGGGGGTCATTGAACGTGACAAGCCAGTAATGAGCTGTTATACCTAGATCAGAGGAGAGACCAGATGTCTGGCTGTGATCATGTACAATTTTGGAGGGACGTCCATAGGAAATGAAAAATTACGACGTCACAGCGACTCGGAAATGGACAACTTCTTCAAAATGGATGGGTGAACGAGAGGACTGGTACCAAATACTCAAATACCTCTGGGAATGTTACGATTCCACCTCCCTCAGATATGAATGAATTAGTAAGACTTGTAAGACTTGTATCTCTAAATCAATATTATCTCCACCCCCAAATTCTAAACATATTTTCTGGCTTTAAATAACCTGCAAAGGTTTATATGCAAGTAGTAGAATCAGTCAATGAATACTTACATATACTTATTTGTATTTCTCCTTCAAGAATGGGACTGAAGTCATTATTCGGCGCCTGAGGTCTCCCCAAATTTTGAACCTCGACCTTGTACCCCATTCTGTAGAGACGTGGGCCTGCGAATAACTAACTAATTACATATGAACAGACATAAATAATAAGTAGATAAAAGTGAAGGGACACAAATACATAACAGCTGGCTACCAGCTTCCGAGTACACTTGTATGCTAGAGCAGCTAGCTAACCCCTGTTGCAGACGCCTGCTCAGGCAAATTTATGTTTCTTCAACACCCACGTAGCCAACCTGTGGTTTATACTGCAACTATACTGATCAGACATTAACTACAATTTCTGGGAGAGAAAAAAGCGAGTACGCTTAAACTCTCAGTCATTATGCTGATTTTCTAAGCGTAGCTTAGATATGGCACAAGGCCAAAAATGTAGAGCAACCAGTGAGAATCGAACTCACTACTCATTTGTAACTAATCTAGCGAGACATACTTGCTAACCATTACACCACGTTTAAACGCGCAGCCCAACTCTTGATTACCATGACTCGTTAATTCGTGCTAGAGCAACCCTCGCTAGCTTTTGACTTCGTCTTCTCAGTTATAGTCACAAGAGTGGGTCAATCCATTGCGTCCAGGTTTACTTCCCAACGTCGGCTCGCAGTGGGATCATACCCAGGTCGATATTATGAAGAAGTCGCCTTCGTGACAAGTCTAACACGGTGAGATTCGAACTCATACCTCATGGTCGAAATAGTAACGCTTTAACCACTAGGCCACGAGCACATAATTAATAATCAATGTTTTTCACCTACGAAAACAATTTTTATAAACAAAAATTTGGTTTATTGATGGGTTCCCCTTAGCGGCGTTTTAGCGTGTCTCTTTTTGGAATTTCTAGAAAGGGGTCCTATCAAAAATATTTTACTTCAAAATTCTTCGTATTTTAAATATATAGATAATGCTCTAAGAATATATCCACATAACACAATTTTACCCGACCGTGTAAACAAACATAATAGTGTTGAACCCACAATAGATTATCCTTTTGAAACTGAAACTAGTAACACTTTACCCTTCTTACAGAAAATCTACCGACAAGAATGACCTCATAAACTATTATTCTCACCACAGAAGCAGAATAAAATCTGAAATAATTATAAAATTTTATTTAAGAGCACTAAGAATCTGCAACACCAATATTAAAAAGAAATATGCAATGAAAACGCCTTTACCAACACCTAATATCCTATTATCATGTACAATGCTAAGAGAAAAGCATACAAAATTTATAAAACCAAAAACATAATGGTATTAATAGCAACAACAATGAAAATAAACTAGGTAAAAACAGACATACATCGGTCTATCCCAGGTGTCGGCACTCCCTCCCACCCACGGGCCACATCCATTCTGCGAATCATTTTTGTCTGGTCCGCCAAATTAACCGTAGTAAGGAATTTGCATTTTTGTTTGATTGTGTTAGTTGCTATCCTGTTATACCTGAAGTAAAATAAGGAACCTTGTTTAAATAATACAATATAAATTTTTTGAAGCCCCCAGACCAAGGCAGTTTTCTGTATGAAGCGGTCTGAGGTCGAGACAACTTAATACATTTGATATCATGGCCCTCTTTCAAGATAGTTGTCTGGACCGATCTCTCCAAAAGTTTGCCAACCCTTGATCTATCATTAGTACGCTTATTCATGGATGGCAAAATTTGTGTTATGAAATAATGCAATAGACATATTTAAGACTTAATCATGATGGGTCACTTTGTTTTAAAAAAAAAATCTCGTTCTTATTCTATGTCCACACGTGTGTGCACATTGCGTCAATTTGAAAGTGAGTATATTTTTGTTTGTGAAAATATGTTTTAATGCGCGTTCGTGACTAAAATATGTGTGTATTTGTAGTCATGTGTATGCGTGAATGTATCAAAGTGGTACTTTAAATTCGAGTGAATCGGTCTGTTTATCTGCAATGGTTGTACAACGTTTATTTGTGTGTACGCCTCTGTCTGCATGTTTAAATTTCCCAGAAGCAAAAAAAAAAAAAGGTTAAAAACAGATTAGAAATAAAAGCGGAAGTGAAATCTGCTGCGTATCTTACGGTTGATTCAATCGTACCCTGTTTTAACTTCCGGTAAAGATTGAAAGTTAGAATTTACGTACAGAACTGAATATGTTCATTCAGGAAAAATATATTCGTTTTAAAGATTGAATTTTAAAAAATATTCTTCTATAAACTTTCCTATATTTTGTTTTGTTTATTTATTTAGCTTAACTTTAAGTTCAATTTGTTTAATTCTTTTTTTTTTTAATTAAATATTGAGTTTTGTAAAATCATCACTGTTAGAATGTTCGCTTGCCATCTTTTTTTTCATGAATTGAGAAATAATTTTTCTTTAAATTCATCTCTTTATTTGTTCCGTTATTCTTTTCTTTATTTTTATCTTGTTTTCCTTTTTTTTCTGAGGCATCCTGCTTTGTTATCAAAACTGCATTGGCATAAAATTTATTTTAATTTCCTAAACTATTGGCTGTCGAGTCAACACGCAGGATGGATGCATACACACACACACACACACACACACACACACACACACACACACACACACACACACACATTCAAATAGATGAATACACAACCCCACGCACACATCACTGAACACATAAGCACAGAAATGCATGTATTGGATGTGATAATAATGTTTCAGTTAATGATGGTTACCAGTTAATGAAGTTATAATATCATATGACATTGGGTAAGTCACCAGGTAATGAAGGTACTAAATAGTACATCGTCGAGGTGAGTCACCAGATGATGGGATAATAATATATCGCGTCGTGGTCACCAGATAATGGGGGAAGTATGGAAGAAAAGTATAGTCTCCCAGTTCGCATTTCCTCCATTATGGGCATTGTTATATCCATGATATAATAACATTTTATTTCACGGACGGAACGGAATAGCTGAAAGAAAAATATAGCTTATTCTCATACAAAAAAATATAAACACATATTTACATTTGCGCCACACAGAGAAACTACTATACAGGTCTACACAACAAACAGTGTGAAAAGGTACGAAAAGATAGGGTCTTACTTGTAATAATTCCTAACGGGAATTGGTGCTGCCGGAGATTCCTCGGTGTTTCTGGAAAAGCCACATTTAGGATTCCAGATTCGGGTGGGTCGGATTTACCTGCTATGTTACTAGCGAGGACAAACAGAAACATCGAATCATGTTTTTTTTTTTTTTTTTTTTTGCAACATCGAGTTGGAGATAGTTTCTATATCTGGTGAAAATATTTACCCTAAAAAGCAAAACGGCACAATCGGTGTATTAGTAGCACCACGTGGCAGTTGGTGGCCGGGGCAGAACGAACAAATCGTATACCTTAACAACATACTGTTAGTAAAATTACTATGCAAACTAGATTCAACAGTAAGAAAGCAGTGCTATGCTGCACCCCAAGCCATATAGAGATTAGAGGAAATGACTGAGCAGATTTAGCCGCAAAGTCTGCCCAAAACGAAATCCTTGATAATAATTCCAAGATCCCTTATTGTTGTAGCATACCTACGGACGATAATAGGTATGACCCCATTCACATAAATACAGTAGTAAATACTGTATGTTGGTCTGCAGTTGGAGATTCATTGTGGAATTCACTTGACTCACTTCTAGCAGTTGACTACTTCTTCGCACTGCTGGCGAATCTTATATGTGTTGTTCTTGTTCTACGTATTATCGTTCATCATCAACCGTCGTGTGATTATCCTATTCAGTAACCTTCCCTAGGTTACAACACTTATATGGACCAAAAATTTAAAATAAACAGTTACATTCAACAGAAATGGCAAAAGCGTTGGATCAACAACACAAGTAATAAACTTCTCACAATCAAACCTATCCTAGACGAATTGAAACCGATATCTAGAAAAGGAAGAAAAGACGACGTAACGCCAACTCGATTACTCATAGGCCACACATACCTGACCCATTCATACTTGCTGAAGATCAACCAACATCCACAGCATGCCAAGCTGCACTCACCGTGAAACACATTTTAATTGAATGTACTGACTTAGCTTCTGTAAGACATAAATACTACAAAAAAGCAACCTGAAAGAATTATTTTGAAAAAAACTAAAACCATCAACATAATG